AAGACGAAAACATTTTTTTTCAGTAAAAAAAATCTCAAATCAAAAAGCATATAGCCTATGCTCCTGGTCTTAATAGGCGGCCCGCGGGCCAAATTTGGCCGGTGAAGTAAATTATTCTGGCGCTAGAGACAAAATTAAATTATAAAAGAAATATATTTAAAGAAACTAAAATAATAACCATTTCATGAACATTTTTTTAAAAATAAAGTGAAGGCCAAACCACAACACAGGGCGAATGTGAAGGTAGGGGTGACCCCACCCAAATCTAGAATTAAATCCGTTACCAACCAATCGGCAAACGCCAAAAGATTAGTCGTCTTAGTTTTACCTAAATATGACATAGCAAATTAAAAATAAAAGCTTTATCAGAGACTTGTTTTTATTATGAGTAGAAGCGATATTTTACAGGCGAAATGTTTTTAGGCTTTAAACCTGGTATTTGGTGGATATAGGATAGGTGAAATCACACAGAAAAACCGATTGTTTGCCAAACAATTAAGTTGAACAAACTTTGTATGGCTGATAAAAAAAAGAAAATACTGTGTTTTTGTCACTTATTATGCCTGTAACTTCATGTTTGGTTTGAAAATACTCCTACAGGATTACTAATACCAGGGAGTTGTTGTATGGACGACGTCTGAGCATGTATCAATAATTGGTTAGGCGTAAGAAACAAGGTCAATATGGTAGAAAAAAAACTATGTAGTTTTACTCTGATAGGGGAAAAAGCCCAATTCAAGAAACGATACTTCCCCCACAATTACACTTGCACAAATAAAGGAAGATATGACAAGTTCTATTACAAGTCACCGTCAACATTAAACCTCCAGCGACCCTGAAAAATATTTTTGGCATGAAAATATATTTTTTTTCTTTTTATTAGCCCTATGCAACTATTCGAGGACTGCTTTGAATGCCGCACTTTACCATTTACCGGTATCTACTTAAAACCGTCAGTTCCAAACAAATTCTAATTTTACGAGAAATAAAATTAAATGGTGGTGCCAATTGCAGAGGCAGATTTCCGTTAAAAAGAACTCACGCATTCGTTAAGAAAAAAAAATCATATGTAACTTTTACAGAATATGAGGCTGTAAAATCAATTATAGGCCTTCAGTATTCAAAATAGTACTAAATTGTTAGAGCTTCCGGGAGCTTAGCCCTCCCCCACTCCCTCTGAAGAGTATTTTTACTTTATGTTTGAACCTTAATACATGGTTTATTAATAAAATGATAGTATTAACATTTAAATTAGTTCTTGTTGGTTTTGCTAGGCCTTTTTCTTATTTGTTGCAATGTATATTGTTAATTTAGTTAGGCCTATACATATGTTAGAATTTTTCATTTTTCATGTATTGGGTGATTCTTTGAAGTATTGCATGCTATTGGATACGTCAAAGTCAAGTAAGTTGAAAACTCTGAGAATTATTTATGTGTAACCTTGGGTCACCTCTGCAAACCAAAGTGTTTAGAAACTTTACTGTACGGCGAAACCCGAGGACCCTAATCCAAGCTTACAACTTGTCCTGTTGCCCGAATCCAAGCCTACAACTTGACCCTATGGATATGACATCACTTTTCGATATACTACAGCATAGAGTATCCTGCTAAAAATAGCAGTATCGCCAAAAAGAAAACAACTTTAAACTGTGCTGCGTCTGTGCTACCAACACACGCCTTCAGCCACAGCATCTCAGAATGTTACCTTAGGTCAAATTATAGACAGATACTTGAAACTCGGAGATTTTCTTTGGCCCGTGACATTAAATCTAAAAATAATTTGGGCCTAAATTAATTAAGAAACAGGGGATTATGTCTAATTTTATAGGTAGTCAATAATACCTATCAAAATACAAACCCTTCACCTACCAATTTAATTCTCAGAAATTAAAGCCGCAGGCAGCATGCACATTACCATCATCATCATCATCATCATCATCATCATCATCATCATCATCATCATCATCATCATCACTACCATCGTCGTCATCATCATTATCATCGACATCATCATTATTATCATCGTCATCTTCATCATCATCATCATTATGATCATTGGCGTTATCTTTATTAACAATATTATTATTATTATTATCATTAAATTACAAATCATGATGATGATAGTGGTGATAATTATGATGTGTTCACGTTGACATCAAGGTTATGATGAGTATGATATTTGCTGTTGACGCAAAGAGTAATGTATAGCAATAAATACTGTGGTGGCACCAGTGGGGGTGGGGGAAGGGCCCCCGTTGGGAAGAGCTCCCCCTCCCCTCTTCGGGAAGAAAAACCACAATTTAATTCTACATATCAGTAGACTAAAAATGGACTAACGCGCCTTTGAAACCCCTAAATTTCCATGGAACGTTTCGAGAGATTTTGAGCTATGACCGACCGCGTCCACTTTTTATCTTAGGGGACATCGGCCCTCCCCCACTTCTCCGTCGGCGACTTCGGCCCTCCCCCTCCCCCGGTCGGACGAATCTTGGCGCCACCCCTGATTAAATACAATCTGTAGTATACTAACCTAAAGTAAATAAAACAAATTTGTAATTGTTTTAAAGCATCAAACACTTTTAAAAGTAGTACTCTACTTGTTATGCTGATATATTTTGTGAAGATGGCCCTGGTTGTAGGCAATTTTTTTTTCTGAGGAGGTAGGTTGGTAAAATGTCATGAATTATTCATAAATCTGCTTATAACCATGTTTTGCGCATGCGCTACTTCCAAGTCAGTGTGTGTGAGCCCATGGTCAGCCTGATATCAGCTGCTGCTCTGTACATTATCGCGATATGGACCTAGTTTTAGCCCTTGTATGCGCCTTGTATTTGAAAGTCTTAACTAAATACAATACGATATTGCAACTTGCAATAATTTCAATTTCAAGTGTTTTATTTTAAATTATTTTATTTCATAATCGATGTTATGCAGTCTTATGCAGTTTTATGTTTATATGTTTTAAGTTTTATGCAGTCCACCCAATAGTGCGAATCATGATTTTTTTTCTTATAGCCTTTTACATGTAATGAATTCACGAGAAACACACACAAAAGACAAGTGATCGTTTGTTTAACGGTAACCGAAAAGGGTGTGGGATGGGGGTGGATTCTATGTGGAACACTAGGTTAGCCACCTTAGATCCGTCACTGCTCTGTATCATTATTTCTGTATATATCAGTATCGAGTGAAGTCTACGGCAGTGGAGTTTCCCTCAGTCTATCGTGGAACACCCTTCTTCTAAACTCTTCCACCTCTTTTATCACCACGTAATTTTGTGTTCCGGATAGTAAATTTAGGATGTGTTAAAATTCAGGACCAACAGAGTCAATTCAATCACTGGCTATATTTCTGCATTGATTCAAATACAAGGCCTATGCAAGGGCTGAAAACTAAGTCCTATCGCGATATGTACAGAGCAGTATGGCCTATAAGAAGAGTTATGAATAATTCATGAATTTTTACCAAACGTACCTACAAAAAAAATACCTGCGGGATGTACTCCATCTGAACGTCCGTCTTCTCTGTGCCATCTAGAGTTTGTGTAAAAAATTGAAAACTAATTCTGGCGACAAGTTCATTTCCAATAAAATTGGTTGCCTATAAAAAATTGTCTCCTTAATGTTTGTCCCAAAGGATAATAATCATTGATTCATTCAGATTAATTAATTGATTCATCCATTCATCGAATTATCCATTCATCGATTCATTAATTTATCGAATCAATATTGATTTATGCAATAGATAGCGAGGATGTGTATAAGAGACAGCCACAACACAGGGCGAATGTGAAGGTAGGGGTGACCCCACCCAAATCTAGAATTAAATCCGTTACCAACCAATCGGCAAACGCCAAAAGATTAGTCGTCTTAGTTTTACCTAAATATGACATAGCAAATTAAAAATAAAAGCTTTATCAGAGACTTGTTTTTATTATGAGTAGAAGCGATATTTTACAGGCGAAATGTTTTTAGGCTTTAAACCTGGTATTTGGTGGAAAAAATTTGTCTCCTTAATGTTTGTCCCAAAGGATAATAATCATTGATTCATTCAGATTAATTAATTGATTCATCCATTCATCGAATTATCGATTCATTAATTTATCGAATCAATATTGATTCATCGAATGCATTCATATGATATTCATCGATTCATTGATTAATCAAATTATAATAGTTATACATTATAATAATTATCATCTGTTCCTCGATTTGTTTCAAATGATTATGTCAAGTTGTCTGTCTACATGTATGCAATAGATGGCGAGCGGAGTTGTCATTTCATCGCAAATAGAGAAAACCACCTTTATAGAAGTACTTTTGCAAGACACAGGAATAGAAAATACGGATGAGCTTCGTAATTGTATGATGGATAGAAACATCTGGAATGAGCAGGTGCAGGCATCAGTTAGTTAATAAATATCTAGTTTTTAAGTAGAAATATATTAGTTTTAAATAGGGATATCTCTGATAATAGAAATATTTAATTAAAACTAGGATAGCTCTATATAAAACTAGCATACCTCTATTTACAACTAAAATTTATTTTTGCAATTAAATGACAAAACGGCGGCTCGCCATATCCGGGTAATAAAACGGACACGTAAAGGTAGCACAATTAACCCGGAGAATAAAACACAGTACAAATTGTAAACTTGACATAATACAGTACATTGTAAACTTGACATAGGCCAATATGCTTAATGATTAGGACTATTACAATTTGTAACATGAACTCATGGCTGGTATGAAGATTCTTATAAAATGGAGATAATGGGGTCAATAATAAGATATTTATGACAAAGGTATTTAAAATATATTCGAGGCAATTTGATCAGCGATCTGATCTAAAATTTAAAAAAAAAAGATAATTGGTTTTTAGTACAGGTTGGTGTGACACGCTATTTAAAAGGCACTGAAAGGGTGCCAATATTTCGCTCCAATTATTATACACAGCGCCCTCACTCAGAACATCTTCTGATGGATAAATGACACAATACAATTATTATTCATATTATGGAGGCACTTGATCATGAATTGGCCTATTTGTAGAATATAAAAGAGTCTGCACAGTAAAGTGGAATACAAACAGAAGGACGTCTTTACTTGGTCGTCGAGAGCTGATCAATCACACAGAAAAATGCAGACCTTAGCCAGTATGATTGGGAAGGGGAAATCTTCCCTGGACAAAGTACGTAATATTGACTTCTTCATATCCTTTCATGTAGCTATCTACTAAGTTGATTTAATTGGAATTGATTTAACTGTCAGCTTATAGATTTTTATGTCGTTAGTCGTCCTAGAGTATTGTTAATAGAAATTATTTTTTTACAACTTATATAAATCTGTGAATAAAAATAATAATAATGATGATGATAATAATAATAATAATAATAATGGTACCTGTATTTTGTTATATATATATATACATCTGTCTCTTATACACATCTTACAGAGCAGTATGGCCTATAAGAAGAGTTATGAATAATTCATGAATTTTTACCAAACGTACCTACAAAAAAAATACCTGCGGGATGTACTCCATCTGAACGTCCGTCTTCTCTGTGCCATCTAGAGTTTGTGTAAAAAATTGAAAACTAATTCTGGCGACAAGTTCATTTCCAATAAAATTGGTTGCCTATAAAAATTTGTCTCCTTAATGTTTGTCCCAAAGGATAATAATCATTGATTCATTCAGATTAATTAATTGATTCATCCATTCATCGAATTATCCATTCATCGATTCATTAATTTATCGAATCAATATTGATTTATGCAATAGATAGCGAGCGGAGTTGTCATTTCATCGCAAATAGAGAAAACCACCTTTATAGAAGTACTTTTGCAAGACACAGGAATAGAAAATA